CATGCAGTGGAAATGACGGTTTTGACATGCACTGCTTGTTGCAAAGTTTTCGGAAGATGAAACCATTGCGTAAACCATGTCGGAACGGATATTCTTTTTTATTGAACGTGCAACAATAAAAATAATAAATGCGTCTTCTTTTGGAAACCACACGTTGAACTAGGTTGTTACTTGAGGATAATCGGTATGCCCCAAAAAGAACGGTGACGTGAAAACGTGAAGTGAAACAGGTTAGAAAGATCGTAGCCAACACTCGTTTGTGTAATCGTGCCTTCACTTCATTCAGGTCTATTTCGTTTCATATTTTTCCCAAATAATGAACTAACTAGCTCAAAAAAGTCATGATGGTATTTTTGTTCCCTTCGCAAGATAAAATTAGGTGGTGTCATGGAAGCAAAGAGCGCGTGCTAAATTTCACCACAACAGGTATGAGCGTAAATACGTGTAAACGAATAGGGTTCCGTGCATGTAGCCTGTGAACGCTCGTGCTAGATGGTCCGTGGCTGAAAAGATATGAAAATACAGTGCTAATATTTGACGTCAGCTTTAGTATATGCATAGAAATATGCGTATTGTCTATTCTGTATATGTACCATATATTGAATAAAGCTTCAATTCAAACCAGCGTTGATCCAGCACTACTGCTAAAAGCATTCGTGCATGAATAGTTGGGCGAATGTCCCTGATGTACTATTTTAATTGGAAGATATATCGTGAAGCGGTAACTAAACAGACGTACTGTGTATTTCGCCTGTAAAATTAATAATTGGAAGGTGTTATGAAGTTTGTACGTTTCTATAGCTTTAAATAAATTGTAAACTAAACGGTCATCTAACAAGAGTCGCTCATTTTTTTAAAGGCCACCTTTGCGGTAGAAAAGTGGTTGTGCTGTTGGTGACATTGATACTAGATGACAAACATTTAGGCGCTTATAAATTGCTCTAACACACACACACACACACACACATATATATATATATATATATATATATATATATATATATATATATATATATATGTGTGTGTGTGTGTGTGTGTGTGTGTGTGTGTGTGTGTGCAGGCATGGTGGTTGAGTGGCCGTAGCGTTGCAAGTAGTCAAGTAGATACTCCGTGAGCCGTCACAACGTGGTTTATTTCGACGTTTCAGCCAGGGTCGGGTCTTCATCAGCATTGAGGGTACAGTTTGTTGGTGCACAGCTTTATACAATCGTAAATCAGAGGGACAGAGAGAGAGATAGAGGAAAAAAGTTAGTATACAAGGTGGACTCCCCCGGGCGCCTCCTTTAACTTTTCGCTCCCCTTACCTCTCCCTCTCTCTCTCCCTTTTCTCCTTTTCACCTTGAGAATGTCTGCGGTCTGTGTACCCTTCCTTTTACTCACGCATTGTTCGCAACCAGACGGCGCCGCATGGCTCTGGCGGTTCGGTGCGGGGTAAAAGAGCTTTTTGAAGAAGTTTAAGCCTTCAACTACTCAACGCCTCGTCGACATCTCATAGTTGAAAGAGGGGTGCCGCGTATTGCTGCAGAGGCTGCAAGCGGGTGCAATGTCAATTCTTGCCCGCTTCTGGATTACGCGAACAGTAGGGGCATCCCGATTGTGCACAGGGTTGCTGTTGGGCATGCCATGCTTGGCACAATTGATTGGATAGTAAAGTAAAAACAGAAACAGACGACAGCTGTACTTAGGAAGAGTAGTTAAACTTGAAAATATTTTGAGTTGTCCAGTGTCCTTCGCAGCTGCAGTGCCGTGAACTGAGTTATTATTTTCATAAGTGCTGTTATTGTTTTCTAATGCTTTAATTGCAGCAAGTGTATCCGGATTCTCATTTATTCCTCTATCGAGGGCGGTAAATCGGTGGAAAAGGTATATCCCTCGTTGTTCACGTTCTTGGTTCAATTTAAATCCGGTGTCTAAGAGTGTTACTGATAGTTCGCCGAATGCATGGTCGGGAAGATTGAGATTTCTCTGATAGAGGTAGAATTGGGGCTGATTTTGCATGAGCTCTGTGATTATTGAAACGAATCTTGAATGGTGTTTTTGTTTGTCTGATGTACTGCATACTGAACACGTTGCATTGGAGTAGGTATACCACATTAGAGGAATCGCATGTTAGGTTTCCTCGTATGTTAATCGAAAACTTGGATTGTGTGCTGGTTGCTTTGTGTGTTTCTCGCATCGCTTTACATACAAAACATCGTGACATTAAACAAGGTCGGCATGAATTATTAGGGGATGAGGTATTGATTTGAGAGTGGACAAGTGTGTCTTTGAGGTTGCGTGGTCATCGGTAAACGACGCCAGGAGCGGATGGGAATGCACGTTTCAGACTTTCACTTTGTTCCAGAATGTTGTAATGTCATTCAAGAATTTTGTTTGCATTCGGGAAGTTTGTGCTGTAAGTTAGGCAAAGGTTCGTTGTGGGTATTCTTGCGGTGGTCGCTTCCTAAGTAAGTCATCACGCTTTAGTTTTCTCGCTTTTTCAACGGCGTCATCAAATACATGGGGGAGGGGGAGTACTTTTGTTTATCGAGCATCAGTTTTAGCTCCTGTGAGCTTGTGTCAAAATCAGCGTCTTTTGAGTAGATTTGCTTGATCCGGTGAGCCTGGCTATATGGAATACCGTTTTTACAGTGGCGCGGGTGATCGCTTTGGTAATAGAGGTGGTGTTGTTGATCTGTTGGTTTGCGATATAGGGTTGTAGAGAGCTTCTCTTCTTTTATCGTTATGGTAACTTCCAAAACATTTACGGTTGCTTGCGAGTAGGTGTGTGTGAAGTGTATGCTCGGATGTACAGCGTTGTAAGTGTCCATAAAGCTGAGAAGTTAATCCTCGCTGTGGGTCCAAATAAGAAAGATGTCGTCTATGTATCTTCCGTAAAACAGTGGTTTCAAGGAACTTTGTGCGAAAAATCTTTATTCTAGCTTTTGCATAAAAACGTAGACATAATTGGGTGCCAATTTGGTGCCCATAGCAGTCCCGCTGATCTGTCGAAAATAGTCTTGGTTAAATTCGAATGAATTTAATTCGAGAACCATCCTCGTCAAAGTTGCTATGGCAAAGAAATCTGGGGTGTTATATTGTCTATGGTCTGTGTACATGTTTTGTAATGCCGCTGTGCCGTCATCGTGAGGAATATTTGTATACAATGAAAAGACATCAAGAGTAACCAAGTACGAGTTTTTCGGCACACACAAACCTGCAATGTCTCGAAGAAAATATGTGTTTTTTTTTATGTACGACGCGAGGGTGCATGGAATGTGGCTTATTAATTTGTTCACGTACCCTGATATGGGTTCAGTTATTGTACTGATGCCTGATATGATTGGCCGACCTGGGTTACCGGGTTTATGAATTTTTCGGAGGATGTAAAAGCGACCTGGACGAGGGTATGCTTCTCGCATTAGTTTGTGGTCAGTGTTGGTTATCTTTTCTGCATCCATCAGTTTCTTTAGTTCTGTTGATGCGATACGTTTGTATTCGTCTGTCGGATCACCTGGAAGGTGTTCGTAAAATTTTAGCTCGTCTATTTGGCGGTATGCTTCTTTTAAGTAGTTGGTTGTATTAAGTACTACAATTGCTCCTTCTTTGTCAGGGGGTTTTATAGTTATGTCTGTTCCAGATGCCAGATTTCTCATTACCCATTTTTTTAGATTTTGTCAAGTGACAATTTGACAAAGTCTTGTCAAGCTGAAACTTGAATTTTGTCAACTTGACAAAATCTGAAAAACTGAGTATGAGAAATTTGTGCTTGATATGAAGGTTCATTTCGCAATCATCGAGTAAAACAGTTGCAAAGTTTTTCATATGTTTAAAACTGCACTAATTTATATTATATTACTTATTTATAGTTTAAGGGCAACATTTATAGAATATGCTGTGCATCTTAAATGCATTCGAAGCTAGTGAGTGTGTATGGGATGAAGTTGACTCTGACCTAGTTGGCTTACTTTCCTCGATAGGAACACGTGGCAACAAATAGATACTTGCCACACGCGCCGAACCCAGCGTATGCACGCACCCGCTCAGCGGCGCAGCCATTTAAAAATCTCATAGCACTCATCCGCTAACACCTTTGTTGTCGTTATTTTCATTTTCCTGGTCTAAGCGATCAAGATTCGTAGCTCCTATGTGCATAGCGTAACATTTTTATTCAAATGAGAATATCAGTCATACCTTTTAACCCGAGTCCTCTGATGACTGCACGGCATTTTGAAGGGCGAAGCTCCTTAAAGCGTGGGTTGGTCGTCACCTGTATGTATGCATCTATTTAGTAACCACACCACAGCATATCCACGGGTCGATTGATTGATATGAGGGGTTTACCGTCCCAAAACCACCATATGATTATGAAAGACGCCGTAGTGGAGGGCTCCGGAAATTTCGACTACCTGAGGTTTTTTACGTGCACACAAATCTGAGCACACGGGCCTAGAACATTTCCGCCTCCATCGTAAATGCAGCCGCCGCAGCCGGGATTCTATCCCGTGACCTGTGGCTCAGCAGCTGAATACCTTAGCCACTAGACCACCGTGGTGGTGCAGGATTTCCACGGAGTGAATGCCGATGAGTGGGGTGAAACTTCGGAGGGTTTTAACGTCAAACCGTGAATTATCTACAGACCGCGTCCCTCCGTCGTCTGCCTGTGTCTATTCAACGCACGGACAGACGAACGCCCGGACGGACGCATGGACGGACGCAGAGACGAACGCAGGGACGGACGGACGCACAGACAGGCGCACGGAATGGCGCATGGGCGGACGGATAGATGAACGCACGGACAGGCGCATGGACGGACGGACGCATACAAGGACGAATGGACGCACAAATGGATGGATGGACGGATGGATGGATGGTTGGTTGGACGCTTCGCCCCACTCATCATCATTCACTCCGCATATATGCTGTGGTTTTTGTAGTGCACGTTTGTTAGCGGTTCCCTGGATCCCATACGAAGGTTACTGATCGCGCCGTGATACTGACTTCATTGCCCAACGTCGCAGGTGAAGCTTGTGGTCAGCCCTTGGTCGAGCCGCAGCTGGAGCTTGAGGACCGTATTGTAGGTGGGCAACCGGCAGTTCCCGGCTCGTGGCCCTGGCAAGCTGCACTTCACAAGCACGGGACGGGCCATGCTTGCGGTGGGGCCCTCATAACTGACCGCCATGTCATCACAGCGGCCCACTGCGTCTGGTGAGGGCATGTCAAACAGCGCGTCGGAACGTCTGAAATGCGTCCTGCTCCAACACGATCACTTCGTGTGAAAACAGGAAGAAACCTTTTAATGAAAAATAATTGAGTAGCAGTGCACCGTTTGCGTGGCAGCTTGGTTTGCAATAAACCCAGTAAAAATGAGCTTTAGTAATTAAAAATTACGCAGCATGGAGTATGGTTTCCCTTTACATAAATATACTCGCCAGAGATTGTTCAGGCACTAATCTACTTCAAGTTCTTATCCTTATAGGTAACTCTGGAATGTCGAAGATGTTTGCGAAAGAAGTTAATAAAAGGTAGTTGAAAGAGTGGTATAACTCATAAAATGAAAATTACTTCAAAACTAAAGTTATACTACTGAAGCACACTGCATGAAGAGAACCTTTAAACTAATAAAATTAGTACTGCACGTTGTTGGAAGTGTCTGTGAAATCCTAGTAACTTGTCACAATAAAAGTGCAAGGAACATGAGCTAGGGTAGTGATGTACTGTAGGTTTTGTGCGGCTAATACAAATTGAGAAGTAATAGTGCTACTATGAGATGCTAACCATACATAACCAAACCACAATTTGGCTACCTTCCTGTTTCAAGACACGTGTGCATTAGGTCATGTCACGCCCTCGCAGGACTCACCAGCCGGGTCAGCAGTACATTAAGGTGCATCTTGGCGGCCATTATAGGGACGTGCGCCAGAACAGTGAAATATGGGAGGAAGTAGAAGAGATATGCACACACACTAGCTTCAATAACCAAAGAAAATCAGTGAGTATATATACTGTATATAAACTTACAGCCTACTTTTACCTTACTGCCTGCTTCGGAGAAACAAATGTGCCTATTGAGCTCCAACGTTAAATTCGCAGGCTTAATCTCCTTCACTGTATAATACGTGCAGTGAGCAAGCTAAAACGTTATACTACCTCTATCAATTTAAAAAGAAACTTTGTATCTTGGTTTCACCAGCTACAGAAAAACAATTATTCAGATATTACTCAGAAACGAGGTGTGTTTTGTGCAGATATTATTTTAATGACATCAATAAAAAGTTTCTTGAAGAACATGATATAACAAGGGTACCAAAAATGTTCTTTTTATCTATAAGGCTTCTTTCTATAAAGATATAACACGGGTTATTCGTATTACTATAAATGTGCTCCGAAAATTTAAAACGCCACAACTCCACTCAGTAACACTATTATCCACTCAGTAACACTATTTTTTATCGCTCACCCGTTATATTATTTGCCCAATACTAAATATATAAATTATCAGCAGGATAAAAGTAAACTAGTAAATAAATATCAGGGAAATCTAATTCAGAGACGTCTGCAAATGATTTTCAGCTGATGATCAGTAAATAAATAGGTACAGATCTTTAATATGAATAATGTTGTTATGCCGTATATTCAATTGATGTGCGGGGTTTCCGGCACGCTGTTGCCCCTGTTTTTGACAGAGATCAACGTCAAGACAAGAAAAATTTTTTGCTTGAATTTTCTTCCATGTTTCGGCGCTGGTATTCCGATTTAGTGCGGCCTAAACAATACAGATAAGTTTTGTAGCCTCTATACTGCTAAGTCACTGCAACATTGCTAGGTCTCACGACTGTTCATTTTCGTGCATGGCGTTTGTCCGATTTCTAAAGTCTGTACCATATACAAATAAAGATTGTTCGTTAAATTTATTTTTCATTTTTTGTCTGAAATTTTGGTCATTTATTGTAACATCAAGACGAAAACCTGTCAAGTCAAAAACTGAACCTGTCGAAAGTTTGGCAAAGACAACCACAAAAGTAAAATGCAAACAAACGTTTTGGTGATATCTGGCGTATAATATTACAGAACTATCCAGGGCACATTAGAGTTTCGAGGCCGGCAATCAATGCGGTGAAGGTGTTGAAATGCTTGAGAAACTGAGCTACATTTTTACTAAAGGTATTTGTGCTTAACAAACAATTGTTCCTCTTGTGCAGTTGTATACAAACAATAAGACAGACTAGTGTTGAAGACTGAGTTCTTTGGCGATTCTTTGTGAACTTCTTACACGTGGCCATAAATTGGAAGATATAAACAAACATTCCCAAAATATAGGAAAAGTTCCCGTATTTCTCAGGATTTCCTTAAGTATCTGTTGGACAGAGCTCTGCAAAAAGTTTATTGCTGGTACGTAGTAACAATTTCGTAAAACAGGCATGAAGTAATTGACTGTAGCCAAAATCTTCATCTTGTCAAAACAAGTTGACATTGCTTTCACTTCGTTATCATTGGTAGTTTAGGGCTTTCTATTTTAGGAATATCTATGTGTGATCAACAACCACAGAGATGTCTTCGAGGATGTTGTCTTCGAGATTACCTCTTGGGGGCGAGTTCCAAACGACCCTCGTACAATATAGCAATACATGCATGTTATCATTAGTAACTTTTATTGCTTTTATTTATCCTAGCTGAACAAGTTCTTTATTCACGCTGCTGTTTGTGCAGAGCTTGCGTGGTGACATCGCCATTCTGAAGCTGAAGAACAAGATAAACTTCACGAGTGTAGTGCATCCAGTGTGTCTTCCAGTAAGCTACGAAGAACTGGGTGATGGTTCGCACTTGTACGTCACTGGCTGGGGACGCACTGGTCGTAAGTACGCAGCGGCATGCTTTGAAGAGTTTAGTCCTGCAAACGGTGCTCAGGTTTGAGCCGGTTTAGCTTGTTTTCGTTGTCTTCCTTCTGTGCGCTATAATCTATGTCTGTTCCACGTGAGGTGGAGGTCTCAGATGTCTTATCGGCGCTCGTATCTCTAGAAGCATCACGGGACGTTGCGTTCACCCGCGTCCTTTGAGAGAAAGGGTTTTTCTCAGCCTTGGTCTAGTGGCCCAGTAAAGGAATTAGGAAATTAGGACGGGTCCTTCTGACCAGCACCTCGTGACACCATCGCAAGAACCAGACACGCACGAGATTCCGCGTGATGTCAACAAGCGCTTTATTTTTTTCTTGTTGACGTTGTGATAGAAACAACCCGACATCTTCGCAAACTGAGCTGACATTATCGGGAAGAGATTAAAGCTATTGTGACCAGACAAAGCAAGAAGTTCACCACAAAACACCCATTTGCATTTACTCTTACGTAATGGAAATGAAGATTAAACCACAAGAAAATAATTGTAATAATAAATTATTTTACGATACCAAAAAGATGTTAGCACTGAGATGTCCTTTAGCGAGAAAACGCGCAAAAAGAAACTGCAAGTGGCGATGCCACCTTCTCGTTTCTGCACCAGTTGCTGCGACTTCGCACATTCTTACGACGTGTACTGGGGCCTAGTTAGTTCCAAGTGAATGAAAACAAACATTGTCTTCGGGGCTAGCCAAAGACTTGGCGGACGAAGTAATAGAACAAAGCATACAGCCACTGCTGCCGAAATACTAAAATAATGATTAAAAATCACTGGCGTCACTACCAAAACTTTCGGCGGGCATTCGAAAGTAATTTTTACATTAATTTTCTAATCTGTGAAGTAACCCCAGGTAGTGAAATTAGCAGCACTGCAACTTTAAGAGTATACTTAAAATTTATGATCTAATTTATGTCTGACTTGATTGATTGGTATGTGGGGTTTAAGGTTCCAAAACCACAACATGATTATGAGAGACGCCGTAGTGGAGGACTCCGGAAATTTTGACCACTTGGGGTTCTTTAACGTGCACCCAAATCTGAGCCCACGGGCCTACACTATGTCTCACGTCAGTCTCACTTTCAGGGTAATAATTACTTTTTTTGCGAACACATATCCCGGCTAGGCAGTTTTGTTGTTTACTTGCTCATAGTGCAGAAGTTCGCATGCTTCCGGCATATCCTAATGCATTTGCACGAACGTGAGCTTCCTTTTACAAATTTGTCCCTACACTTTAATAGAAAAATTCCGATAATGTCTTTTACGCCTTCCACGTGTTCAATACGTGCTAGGGTGTATTCAACCCGTGTAGAACACGCAAAAAATATATCCGCTGCACTATTCTTGAGCTGGCATACACTTTGTAATTTGTGGAGGCTAAAGTGGAACCAGCCAGTTTAGGGAAGTTCGAACGGTTGGTAACAAGTTTTGTCGCTTCCTGGCGGAATAAGTTTCAGTGAATGAAATCACATCGTTTTAACTGTAGCTGGTAAAACACAAGCACCTATGTTGCTATCACAAATCCGGAACTATACGTGATGAAAATTCAGCATTATATAAACTTAGCAAAATGTCTGAAGACTTTAAAAGTTGTAACGTTTTTAAACGATACCTTATTAAATGTATCAACCAAAGAGAGGTAACAAACGAAGGGCTTTTTTTTCTCGACACAACATTATTGATTGTAAACAGACAATCAAACCAAGAAAAGCATGAAAGTGTTAATTTCAGTATCGGTTTTATGTTGTAACAAGTGCGATATAAATGAAGTAAAGCAAGCGAAAAGGCAACTTGCGGCTGGAAGAGACCGTACCTCAACCCTTCTGATAACGCGACCGATGCTTTGACAATTGGGTGTGTTAATACGTGGTCAATAATTTTCTTTTCTCGTCCACATTATTCTAGGAAGCCATGTGATAATAGTAAATGTCGGTTCATAAAGTCTCATAGTTTTGGGTGATGATAGATGCGCAGTTTATCGCCGATCATTTTGACGCATAACATATAGGAAAACGCAGGTTTCTTCAACAGATCTATGGAAAACATAACACCACCCTTCGTTGAAAAAACAGCAGCTGAAAATGATAGTTTTGTGTGCATCGTAACGTCTGCTTGAAATGTAGAATTTTGTTGGTTATTTAGCAGTATTATCAAGCGCTAATAAGTAATGTTGCTTTAGCATCATTGTCAACTCCTCATTTTCATTATAAAAGTTATGAACAGCTGACCTTGTTGAAGCACGACGTAATGGAAACTTCTACGCTCGAGGACAAGAATGTGAGCCTCACATTTATTGAAGTTCCTTTGCATGACGCTCAGTGTCATTACAGTAATGACAACAGAAGCACACTTCGTATTTTGAAGCAAGTTAGCCTCAATCCTCTAGAGTATGCGAGCATACCTCACAAATGATGGGCACCACATTGTCAAAGGATCCCGACACGGCACTGTTATTGTAAAGTAAGTTAGAAAGCAAACTGGGATGTTGGCGCTAGTGCGAAGGCACACATTAGTGATGTTCAGAATGGAGCTACTTATACTCCGATATGCACATTATTTATGATTTGCCCATGCACACAAAGGACAGAAAATTTTCGCAATTATATATAAAACATAGGGTATTATCCACGTTTTAACGGTCGTCTGATGATCACACCTACTAAGTTTTAAAAATAAATTTCAAATCTCCATGAAATTAAAAAGTTAGTCTCGTATAAATGAAATAAATGACGCAAATTGTTTCATTAACTTGCGTCCCTCTCTGTGTTTATATGATGATTTCTTGTTGTATCTGAAAATGCATTTATTTCTCTTTTATCGGTCGAGGAGTCGGCAAAAGTGAGGCTGCAGAACTGAAGCAGACGCTGACGAAGTCGATGAGCACGGAAGCTTGCCGGGGCCACAGTGGTCGCAACTTCCCGCCGACAGTACTCTGCGGTGGTCACGAATACGGCTCATCTTGTGACGTAAGTACTGTTACTGAAACCTTAAAATTATTTTTCCTTTTTCATACGATTGATATTTTATGAACCCTGGTTTGGCTCTGCAAATGCACAAGAAACAAAGTCCACGATAGATTGGTTTGGCTATTTGCAAAACCATACGTGCCGTAGCGTTCCACAGTAATCAAAGCGCATATTTGTGGCTCTTTCAAGATGCTTTTTTTTTTCAGTTTTAGTTACGTAGCGTCTTTCATATATCTAGCTTTAGTTACGTTCTCTCTCTCTCTCTCTCTATATATATATATATATATATATATATATATATATATATATATATATATATATATATATATATATTTATATTTATTTATTCTGAGATCTTAAAACTTAGGGGTCTTCGGCGCTTCAGTTCTTTTAGATGTTTGCACAGTCGACGTCGGAGTTTTATGCAATCAGCGATAAATAACGCAAGGTAGGGTTGTTTAGAAGTATTGTATAAGTTTTATTGCCGATTCCGGTATAAAAAATTGGCTGCCTATCAGCGCGCTACACTGCAAATGTCGTCAACAGGCGAACGTATTCTGCCAGTTTTACTTTGTGAGTCATGGAGCTTGTTTCAAAGAGAGGGTTGTATTTCATCAAGCGTATGTTTTGCCTTGGCTCAGAAAGCGCCTCCTCTGTTTTGAATCAGCCGCATCTGGCTAGCTTTGATAAAATAGAGGAGGCACTGCGTGAGATACGGACGCCATCTGGCAGTGGTGTAGGGATACATGAGTTTGTGCCAAGCCGAGGGCTACTGCCAGGTAGCTGCCCTATACCGTCGGCAGAGGGCTTTTTTGTGTATAGCGCTATCTTTTAGCGCAGCGTAAGAAACACTAATGCTATGGAATTGCGCATCCATGTTCTCTAGTGAAGGAATGGTTCACCAACTAGTACTTACTTAATAATGTTGCATGCAACTCAGATATGCGTAGTATTTGTTTCTGGATCGATTCATTGAAAAGTATGAACGCATCTACCAGCTTAGTAGGGCTGAGCATTTGGCAAGTGCCTAAAATTAGGCCGTGCGGCTGATTTGTGTGTTCAAGAGACACGTAAAAATAAAGACAGACAGACCAGAGCTTCTGCGTTCAATTATCCCAAGAAAGATTATCGTCTTTAAAAACATGGCTAATTCAAAATGACTTTTTGGGGTGAAGCTCTTTAAGCCGTGGGCCGTACGTCCCTTGTCGTAGTTGTAGCCACATCTCGTTTAGTCTCTAAAATGTCCGCTGGATGGCGGTATTGCATATGATGAATACATGATGTAACGTTGTGTGATGGTGGTACATGGAGTGTTCACTAGAAGGATGGGCGGACGGACAGACAGACAGATGCATGGACGAACGAATGGACGAGTGCACGAACGCACGGACGGGCGCATGAACGGACGCACGGATGTATGCACGGATGCACGGACAGACAGACGGACGGACGCATGGACGCTTCGCCCACTCATCATCATTCACTCCGTAGATATGCTGTAATTTTTAGGGCTTAGTTGGTGCGTATTGACAAGAAATACTTAGCGTAAAAAATTTAGTACACAAAAAAGACACACTGCTGAGAGAAGCAGGTGTCCCTTGTTTGTCTTTCTTTCGTGCTGTGTTATTTTTTTCTTGCGCTATGCATTTCTTGTCATAAAGACTTGTTCGTGAAAGGAATTGTTGTAATTTTCCATGACGAAGGATTTTAATTACTACTTCATAGAAACTGGTATAAATTGAAACGGGCTTTCGCAGAATTTGTTGAATGTTTATCGTGCATAGGGTTTTGAAAAATTGTAAAAAATGCTTGTGGTGTTGGACAGCTAGAGCACCGTTTGGCATGTATGTACTCAGGTTGACGCTTAGTGGCTCGCCTGCATTATAATGACTAGCACCCGTGATCACGGTTTCAACATTGTAGCTGTAGTTGTAACATATCATAGACACAGAATGTCGTAAATGCTTTTCCAAGATGACATCAAAAAGCACATAAATTACACTGGTATCCGATATACACTTCTTAAAGCACCGTTGACTGAGCAGAGAGACATCACGATGAGAGCTTCGCAGTAACATACTTAACAACGCCTATACTCACGCATACACTACTTACACTGAGCTACAGCAATATGAGAGGCAAGTATACTTCTAGGTTGAGTGGCAAACGCCCAATGGCTGTCCAGGTCTGACTAGTATCTCTATCGCTCCAGCAAAGCACAACATTCGCCCATCGACACCACTGCCCCTCAGCGCTACCTTTTTCTTCATTTCTATTAGTCATTGTTTTCACACTCACATTAGTGTTTGGCGGTTAAACACCATTGGCGCACGTGGAAGCTGCCCCAATACAAGAACAAGCTGTCAACGCCAATACGAAGCGAAAGGAAGGTAATACAATGGTTTCTAGGACAACTTCTCGATGCTACAGTGTGGTCATCATCGCTTTCTGGTGTGAAGACAATCAAAGTGAATCGTGGCCAAATTGCTCCCTGTTGGTGCTCATTAGTCCCACCACGAAGTAATTTGTCGCGCTCGAACAGCAGCGCCTCCCTGGAGCAGATCAAGAGGCTGTGTGTTCGATACCTAGCAGCGGGAATATTCAATATGTTCTTTTTGATTTCCTTTAGCACATTTGGCCAACATAACTTCTGTGTAAAAAATACATCAGAGGTGTCTTAGAGGACCACGCAACGGAGCGATTTTGTGTTCAATATATTGGATAACGCTTGGGTTTCGCCTTCAGAAATGAATTGTAAACCACAAAAAATAGCATTTGTGCTTGTAACATAGCCGTTTCAAAGTGTTTCAGAACATCTGGGTTGCACGCGGCAGGTCTGCATTTTATTTTCACTCAAATCAAAGATAAATATTAGTTGATAATTTTAATTAGTCTGAAATTTTCTCTGAATACCGACACCAATTTGTCACTCTGAACAAAGCCGATACCAACACCATTTTTTCTGCGAAACGAACTTTTTCAAACTGTCGCGGTAAAATAGTGTACATCTTTCACACTTTTGTCCTACACCTGTAAAAAAGGGACATGAACAACAGCGCGGTGATTTTTTCTGTCACAAGAACTAATTTTTTCATCTTCTTGGTTTGTTGGCTCTTCATGGTTGATAATATCTAGTCTGGCTTAGTTAGTTTAAACATTAGTTGGAAACGTCTCTAAATCTCTCATGTGCCGTTTCCACGCATAGGATAGCAAACCGGTTATCTCGACTAGTTAATCTGTCTACCTTTCCTCCTCTACCATTTCCTTTGTCTTCTTTTATTTTTTGCGAAAGAGCTTGTGGTGATTTCGCTTTGGAATGCTGTGTAGCAGCATTCTACTCTGGTTATCCTGATTGATCGTTTATTTCTTAATTGATGACAATTGTGCATTGTTGCATTCATTGTAATAATTGTCCATGTAATGTTGACAGGGAGACAGTGGAGGTCCCGTAGTTCACCGAAGCAATGGAACATGGACACTACACGGCATCGTCGTCGGTGGTCCTCAGGAATGCGGTGAAGAGGACGAGCCGCTGTACTTCGCCAAGGTGTCACACTACGTTCGGAACTTCATCGACGTGTACGTGGATACGAAGACTAGTCGGAAGACGTTACGTAAAATATGTAACTTTCTATGAAGCAGACAAATGGTTCGCTCAAATTGGGACAATTGAAATGCGCCGATTTTTCTTCCCTGCTCGCAGTTGAGTGTGTCTTGCAGAATTTGCGCACTGTTAAGAGCGTTAAGAGCGTTAATTAAGAGCGTAGAGAAAGTAACTGCACTCTGAAGGCAAGTCAGTGCTGTGCGGTCGCGATTGCTGAATGGTTTCGACAGTGTCAGGCAGTAGTTGGCTGTAGGACAACAGGATATTTTTTTACATGTCCTGGCTTTGATCAATTATGAAGTCAATATGTACCGACACTCGGAAGAAACATGAAACGTTCCTTCAGTATTTGATTCCTTGCAGATTACGTTTTCTTTTTCATTTTTTTACTGCGGAAACAAAGGGTGCCATAGCATCGGTCACTTGACGAATTCTCCTAAATGACCATCATTAGGACCCACCACGCATATTCTTCGTGTTCCTCCCCGTCATGTGCTGCTCTCCCAATACACGTTTGTCGAATAGCCCGCTGTCGGATGAAATAGCACGTATGGGTGAAAAATTACAAAGAGAAAGATTGTTAGAGAAAGACAGATAGAAGAATTTTCTCGTGGCAGAATTAGAGCCCGTGTGCACATGACACAAAGCGGAGGATGCTAATAACTATTCTATCTGGGCTAAGTAGCAGGGCTTAGTATGACTTTGTATACTACAGCAAAGCAAGTGGCTAGGAAAGGCAAGTGAGGGTGAGGAGAAAAGAAATATAGGAGAGAGCAAGGACTAAAAAGAGCAAGAAGCCATAGGCGAAAAATTCAGAAAGATAAAGAAAGTAAGAGATACAGAACAAAGTGCAAGGCAGAAAGAGACAAATAAGACATCAGGAACAGAATAAAAAACAGATTGATTTGATTTTGATTGATTTGTGGGGTTTAACGTCCCAAAACCACTATATGATTATGAGAGACGCCGTAGTGGAGGGCTCCGGAAATTTTGACCACCTGGGGTTCTTTAACGTGCACCCAAATCTGAGCACACGGGCCTCGACATTTCCGCCTCCATCGGAAATGCAGCCGCCGCAGCCGGGATTTGAACCCGCGACCTGCGGGTCAGCAGCCGAGTACCTTAGCCACTAGACCACCGCGGCGGGGCAATAAAAAACAGAATAAATAAGGAATTTCTCTCTTGAAGAACTATTCAAGAGAGAAATAAGACAGCCCGGCTTGATACATTTTTCAGTCTAGTCATCACTACCAAAAAAATCTCATGTACACGTACTAACCAAAGGTTTTTTGTCCTAAAGTACGGTTCAGATGCAAAAAACCTCCTCTCATTGAAACAGTTCAACTAGAATTCCACTGCCGGCAGCAAAATTCATTAAATTGTCTGAGTCTTCCTGCGGAGTACAGAACAATCTTGTTCCCTTCGCGCAGCCATTCGCCATGCTGAAGAAGCCAATTTTAAGCTTGGGACACAAAGCTCGTGCACTAAATAGAAGTCCTAAGGGTTTTATGAAATGCTCAAGGTCATGCGTAATGACACAGTCTGAAAAATGTGCTTGGGATGTGCTTGGAATTGGGATCCTTCGACATGCCACACGATGGCGCAGGTAGCATTTCATTTGAATTATGTGAAGACGGAAAGTAAATATGTGAAACAAGTGCAAAATTTCCGACTACTAATGTTTATAAAAAGTGTTTCTCGTTGGCGGGCGTCTCACGGAACCTCGCCCTTTAATAGTGTAATATTCGGAAACCCTCTAGTGGAGAATCTTCGTCTTGTATATTTTCGCGTGTTTAAGTGCACAACGGTGCATATTGATGGTAGTTTTATTTTTGCCAAAAATCATTTACTGGAAGTAGAAGCTGCAAAAACAGACATCTACGGATGGGTAGGAAATAAATAATGGAAACACTTTGTCGCGGCGTGTGAACAGAACTGTGTAAAATATCTAGCGCTCCAGGTTGCTTGGTGCTAAAGTTTCACCAGTTTGAAATCAAATTAGCATGTTTGAGTAGCTGACGCACCCTATATTAAGTAACTTGGTATGTATGAGAAGATACTCTTTGTATATACTTCATTACAATTGTCACCATATCGCATGCCAATCTTGTGCGCTGTATTCATTGACGAATAAACCTTGATTCATCACCACTCTTTGAAATCTGTCCTTACTTTTATATAAAAGGTATTAAAAAATTTTCCCATCTGCATGACGCTGCTGAATGAGCTCAGCATGGACCGTACTGCCAAACGTGTCCTCCGTAAGAAGTTGGCCAAGTTTCTTTTTAATGATAGTTTAGTATTTGTGAATATGCCTGCTCTGACTAATTAGCGAGACAAATGTCTCTATGGATCAGTCTTAAGGAAAGAAATACCAGCAGATACTGTGATTTTTGAAACTAATTTACCCCGAAACAATTAGTGTATAAAGTATTATGATGCATTTTGTGGCTTTGGTCCAAGCGTTATGAGTGGCAGATAGAAGTATTTTTGAAAATTAAGCAGTTGTGTGTGTTTAGCTGGCCAACCTGGCATGTATACTCCATTGGCAGTATATTAGGGCATTTTCGCTACAGCACACATCGGCACTCGTATTAGAGCTACACATCAGTTGAATTGAAATAATACTCATGCTATGGTGCTCCAAAAACAAATTGTAAACGCATCTTTTCGGCATATATTTGAGGGGAGTTCAATGCTTGATTGTAATTCACTAAGCCATTGGAGTCAATTCATAATGTTTATTTAGCTGATAGGAGACCGAACAACTAACACTGCAATGTAAGCTCGCACTAGCGAAGAACACCAACCATCTCTCCAGCTGAAACTAACGGCAGTCGTAACTAAGAATTCTCGCGCATTAAATTTGTTTAAGGCGTCTACCGCATTGTTGCTGGCTTAGGATGGTTCCAGTAAGATCATCAGCTTTGGTATCGAACATGAAAATAACCGACAACAAGAAATGGTACGTCTTTTTTTCTTATAACTCTCACAGAGTGTCCTAAAAATGCTCGATGCTTATTTTCGCACTTCCCGGTTTTTAGCTACGGTGCATACGTGTACAACACGGGACGTGGTACGCAGGTATGCGCCACAAGGGACGGGATGAGGGTGTACCATGACGTACTCAAAATGTGTGTCATGTTATTCATATCATAAACAATCAGTCATCTTCGTGGTATGGTGTTGACTGTCTGTATCAGTTTTGATATATACCAAAGTACGGAGTAGCCACCAAAGCAGTAGCCAGGTTTTTTCAATCTGCACAGTAGTCCTTGATCTGTAGCCGAGGCTCATGCATATTTGGTTGCACACTTTAAGCTACGTGAAATCGGCTCACTCCTCAACTTTAAGCAAAATGAAAGTCAACATTAGGAAGTCAGCATAACACAGACGCACATGGTTTGTACTAACATTGCAAATACTGAAAAAAGCGCTATGGTGTGCCTAGTCGCTCAACGAATGAGATTCCATGTCTACTCAAGCTATCACACACACCCCCATTGAATGCTGTACTATTCTAAAAATAATAATAATGAGAATAACAGACAACAATGCCAAGAAAATTATAGGGAATGTTCTCAGTATACGTAATATTGAAGTGAGGAAAACAAAGCCGCCCAAAAAAATGATTTTCCTTGGCATAGGCATAACCTGCTGCCTTCGAATAACACGTACAATGTTCTACCACTCAGCTACGGTGGCAGTCATTTCTCCGTTAACTTTACAGGGTATATAGGTACATTTAAACGTGGGAGCCTCAGGCCTCCTTGGCAGGTTCGCATCCTACCAGAGGCAAGTTATCGTTTCGCCTTCTTATCTTTCTTCACATTTATATTAAAATTACTTTTAATAACATCCTCTACACTTTCGCTAGCATTATTGTGTGTTATCATCAGTATCGCGTCTATAACGGAAAACAAGCCCTCATATGTACTTTTCTTCGAGGACAGTATAGTGTAGGTTTTCTATATACCAAAATTTCTACCAACCGTTGATAAACGATTATTTGGGAAACGTTGATAGAACCTACGACAGCAAACTGAAATCCGTTAGACCGTCCAGTATTCCGGCTATCAATAATCCGTCAACTATTAGTCGCTGATAACCAAAGAGATTTCCCAAACTACGTTCAATAGACCCTGAATCAGTATGTTGAAGATAGTATGCAAAAGCTTTATAGCGCTGTATCGACCATTTTCAAACCATTTAAGCATCAATTTATGTACTTTAGACCACCGAGAACCAATAGAAATTTTCTGATCACATTCGATAGACACTGAATCAACGTGACAAAGGCAGCATAAAAATTACGCCATCTTCTCCTAAAAGCTACAATGTGTAGATACAGACCAGAGAGCTCTAACGCTTGCAGTGGCGACCACATTGACGCTGGCTGTATTGCGGTGGTACTCAAAATACAAACGCCTGGAGGCACAAAGCACGCAGTGATGGATTGGTGTTTTCTACTAGAATATGCCAATCGGTACTAATCAGCAGTGAGATACAGAAGACTCCAATTGGACGCACAGACCTGCAGTCCAAGTTTTGTTAATGTGCCCGCTGAGAATTTCTATTGTTCAACAACGACCAGGAGAATTCCGCGCCGGCACTACCTTGGAGGCAAAGATCCAGTGCCTCTATATACGGGGTGGCCTCTGAAAGGATGTGCAGCCTAAGTAGTCGCTTTGTTTCATCAAGAGACTTGCTAGCGGACGCTGCTTACGTTGGCATTGCAGGGCGAGAGAGGGAGAGCGTAGGGGAGGAGAGAAAGGAGGGGATGCGCATGCGCATTGGCGTTGTAAACGCCACGGGGAGGAATGATGGTGGTGGTAGCGGTTAGAAGAGGAAAAAGGTACCTAATTTCTGCAGCCCGGTAGGGAGCACGGCGCAGTGCCTAAGGGAGGAATGCCTACAGGAGTGATGGGAGCGAGTGAACGTTCGCAGACACTCACTGCGTAGAGGTTGCGAGGCGAGAGGGGGGCAGCATAGAAGAGGAAGGAAGTTGCGCATGCGTAGTGCGACTGCGGACGCCGAGGTCGACGCCGCGGGACATATACCCGACCAGGAGGCGCTTTGCATCTATAGAAAAAAAAATCTAGCACTGTATCGACCATCTTGAAGCAATTGCCCAATGATCTA